CCCGCCACCTCCTTTGCTGCTGCTGCTGCTGCTGTTGCTGCTGCTGCTGCTGCTGCTGCTGCTCAGTATCTATGCAGATCGTCAGGTCGCGCAATAGGCATTCTCTCTGCAGCGAGTGCTGCTGCTGCTGCAGCTGCAGCAGCAGCTCTGAGAAGTGGCGTGAGTGGTGTCTGCTGCTGCTGCTATCTCTGTGGATCAATCCCTGCTGCTGCAGCAGCTGCTGCTGCTGCTGCTGTTGCTGCTGCTGCTGCGGCAAACGAATCAAAAGAGAAGACAAAGCCACAGACACAGAGTGAGGGCCGTGCAGCAGCTTTATGTTTGCGTTCGTCAGCTGCAGCTCGATGCTCAGCAGCAACGGCAGCAGCAGCGAAGAACCCCACTGCCAGCTCTCAACAGCCGTGCTGCTGCTGCTGCTGCTGCTGCTGCTGCTGCTGGTGTCGTTGTTGGCGGTGGTGCTGGTAGTGCTGTTGCGTCGCAAGGGGGCCGGCGCAGCCGCTGCTGCTGCTGCTGCTGCTGCTGCTGCATCGGTTTCTGAGCTGGGGGTAGCAGCAGCAGCAGCACTTGCTGCTGCTGCTGCTGCTGCTGCTTCAGACGGCAGCAGCCCTGGTGCGGTCTGCGTACCGGGCGATCGAGCAGCAGCAGTTGCAGCAGCAGCAGCAGCAGCAGCTGTTGCTGCTGCTGCAGTGGAGGTATTGGAGCCGCTGCTGCTGTTGCTGCAAGGCTCCGCAGCAACAGAGGCCGTGCTGCTGCTGCTGCTGCTCTCGGCGTTTGCTTCACGAGTGTTGCTGTTGTTCTCGCTGCTGCCGCTGCTGCTGCTGCTGCTGCTGCTGCTGCTGCTGCTGTGGTGCTGCAGCACAATGTTGAGGAACTGCAGCGACAGCAGCAGCGTCGGCTGCCGCCCCCATAACACCGTCGCCCGCAGCTCCTTTGCTGAGCCCTCTACAAGCCTGAACACAAACCCTAAACCCTAAACCCTAAACCCTAAACCCTAGCGGATGTAGCCCAGCTGCAGCAGCTGCAGCAAGGAAAACTGCAGGAGCACCACCACCAGCATCCAGAACAGCAGCAGCAGCAGCAGCAACAGCAGCAGCAGCAGCAGCAGCAACAGCAGCAACAGCAGCGGAGCAGCAGCAACACCGCCTTTAGCGTTGTAAAGAGTGTCTTTGTGGGGGATATGTTGCTGCTAGGGTTTAGGGTTTAGGGTTTAGGGTTTAGGGTTGAGAAATCCACATGCAGACTTTCTGTTTGTGGTTT